TAAAATACCTTTTAACCTAAATTCGGAAACTCCTTTCCTTTTAGGTTATTTATCTCTAAATTTGAAACTAACTTTCAAATTAGGAAACCGATTTCTAAAATAGAAAATTTTTCATTTTAGAAAACTTCCTAATTAAGGAAACTTTTCATTTTAGGAAACTTCCCATTTAAGGAAACTTTCCACTTTGAAAACCCTTTTCAAAAGAAGAAAATTTCATAGTTGGGAATCTTTTCCAATATCTTTGCTTCTCATTTATAATGTGAATACTTAAACTTATGTGTGTGACTCAATAGGCTCCTAGATATGTTGGCAATATATTAAGAACAAAAGACTACTCTTTTATCTCTTGATATATAAATCAAAATTGGCCTATAGCAAGGCATCATGACTCCCCAATTCTCTAGGAGGATTAGTTAATTCATTATTATCTTTCACGAGCATGGTTACCATACAATTTAGTCCTCATGTCAACTTACCATAATGTGATCTCGGACTTGGTTATAAGTCTTGTTCGATTATGATCACATAAGTTTTTCTCAATTCCTAAGTGTTTTAACTCTTAGAGTAAACCAACTATGCTCTATTGGTGTACTCCTATTATGGCCATAGATTTCTCGAGCGGACATTTATCGAAGTGTAATGTGATAACTCTTTTAGCATACAAGGAATGACATGTCCTATCTTAGTTATACACCTACCTCCATTGGATTCCTAGTGCACCCAACAAATTGCTCATATGCAACCCATTAATGGGTCATCGAAATGAGTGTCAAAGTGTATAAGTCCTCCAATGAGATAACCATGATGACTCGCAAATATAAAGACCATTTGTATCCACTTGTATGAGATTCCCATAGAATAAAACCAAATGGGTTCTCATTGCAAGTCAAGTCCAATGATATGCTCTCTAACATAAATCACCTAAGTGCTTGCTTTGGCATCACCATGTCAATAAGTGTGAGATCTCCTACTGCTATCATATAACATGAGCATAACACTCATAAGTCTATCCGCATATTGTCAATGTCCATTCTTGATAATGCTACGACTTGGGATGTTTAATAATATCATTTATATGTATTAGTATTTATCTCATATCTTTCGATCAATCACTATTGCAAATGCATATCATAAGGACTTCTATCTAATTCTACTAAATTTATCAACATGAAAACATAAGAATTAATAGAATGACTTTTTTATTATTAAAATAAATGATGCAATAATATATTGACTTGAGCCTATCCAAACATGGTTGGATCTTGGGCACCAACACTAACACTCAATTTATGGTACAAATAGACAAAATAGTTATGAGTTACTTCCAAACTCAAAAAACATTGACACCAAAGTAAACCCGATGAAAAAACTTTCTTGCTGAATTTGATAATATCTTTGAGTACTAGTTAGGCAAGACTAATTTTGTGGTCGATGCACCTAGTAGAAAGGCTGAATTACATCACATGATGAAGGTGAAAGGCAACACTAATCTTCTTATGAGAATAAGATGATCGTAATGGTACATTGCTTGCACACTTAGAGACACTACTTGCTAGTGGTCTCAATTTATGGTGAAAACGGACAACGTAGCCACGAGTTACTTCTAAACTCAAAAGAAGTTGATGCCAAAGTAAGCCCAATGGCAAGAATTTCTTATTAAATTTGACTATGTCTTTGAGTACAAGGTAGGCAAGATTAATCTAGTGGCTAATGCACTTAGTAAAAAGTCCGAGTTGTATTATATGATGAAAGATGAATGAAGAGATCGTGGCTAGAATTAAAGAAGGAATAGAGCATGCTTCCACCACTAAGAGTTTGTTTACCCTTACGAATGAGGGCAAGGCTCGGAGATTTTAGGTGGAGGATGGCATTCTCTATACGAAAGGGAGGAGAATTTATGTGCCTAAATGGTAAAACCTTCAACAAGATTTGATGAAGGAATGCCATGACTCGATGTGGGTTAGACATCCGGGACAATAGCATACTAAAGCCTTATTGGGGGAAGCATCTTTTTTTACCATAATTGCATGATGATGTAGAGTCCTATATGAGAACATATCCGGTGTGCCGATAAAACAAGGTTGAAAACCGAGTGCCTAAGGGGTCTATTACAACCTTTGTCTATTGTGAAAAGACCATGAGAGACAATCACCATGGATTACATGGTGGCTTTGCCAAAATCAAAGAACTTTATGGATAAATTCTCTAAGTATGCTACTTTCATATTGGCCTTAATAGATATGACAATCGAGAACACCGCTAAGCTACTCTTCAAGTATATAGTGAAGTATTAGAGCATGTCATGATATATAATCGGTGATTGAGATCCTCAACTTACCGAAAAGCTATGGACCGAGCTATTGGAGTTGTTGGGCTCAAAGTTACATTAATCTATGAGTTTTCACCTTTAGATGGATGGACAAACCAAGAGGGTTAATACCTTATAAGAGACATACTTGAGGCAATTTGTGAGTGCCAACCAAAAAGATTGGGCTAAGTTGTTGGATGTTACTCAATTATCTTACAAATTGCAAAAGAGTAAGTCTATTGGCAAAAGTCCATTCGAGATCGTGACGGGCCACCAACCTCTCACTATGCATATAATGGTGTTTGGTGATAAAAACTAAGAAAACAACCCTACGAGTGTATTCATTAGCTAAAGGATGGAAAGAGCGAGCGGACTTGATGCGGATGTATTTGAACAAGGCTACCAAGAAGATAAAATAGTCGATCGACAAGAAACGAAGAGATGTTACTTTCCAACTAGGTGATAAAGTGATGGTAAATTTATCGCCACAACAATATAAGGCATTTTAGAAGGTGCACAAAGGCTTCATAAGTCAATATGAAGTACCATTTAAGGTAATGCACAAGGTGGGAGATGTGTTCTATTGCCTAGATTTGCCACCGAAGTTGAAGATCCATCTAGTGTTTCATATCGGTATGCCAAAGCCATACCATGTGGATGTGGAGGTTCCAAGTCGAGGAGTTTCTTATAGGACATCCGTAGTAGTGTTCGACTCGTATGATAAAGAAGTTGATATCATACTTAATGACCGCACAATCGGATGCTATAGAGTGCCACCAATAAAGGATTATTAGAAAGCAAGGCTAGCAAGGAATCTACTAAAGTCTTGTGGCAATTTGCATGGAAGGTCGAAGAATATAATGAAGGTGGGAGAATGTTATGTCCCACTCATAAGAGAGATTTTTCTGAAGGCTATTGAGAATGCTAGATAAGTCTAAAAGCCTCTAGAAGATTATGGAGCAATGAAAAAGCCTCTAGGATGTCTAAAAGAAATCTAGACATGTCCAAGAGAAATCTAGATATCTCCTAGAAAATTCCAAAAAAGTCCTTTATTATTCTATCTTGTATATATCTAGATAGTTTCTTGTAAATATTTAGATAGGATAATTCTAGATAATCAATTGTAGCCATTTGATCAAATAGATCCTAACCATCAATTAAAAAGGTGGAGGACTATAAATAGGTGAAGCCTTCATTTGGCTCAAACGTCAAAAAATCTAAAGAAGTGTAATCTTGAAGTTGTAAGCTTCGGAGAGAGTAATGCAAAGAGTTTTTATATTTCTTATGTGTGTCTTTCTTACTTGACAACTTTGGATGGGAGAAGGTTAACTTAGTTTGGCTTAGAAAAGAAGTGAGCTAAGTGCCGCACGAGAGCTTAGAAAAGGCCAAGTCCGTAACATGGTGATGCGGATATAAAAGAGAAATGGGTACAAGGAAAAAAAGAGAGAGAGAGAGAGTGAGGTAACATAAATATATTTTAGGTTTCGACATCAATTCACTTAAAAACCTCTAAAGACTAATATGTTGGGCCTATTTTATGTCTTTAGGTTTATATTTTTAAATGGTCCTTGTGATATAATTTTTATTGGACCTACTTTTCTATACAATTTTAGTTGTATTTATTTTTTATATTTTTTAAAAGTGATAATGGGTTTCTTTTTTCTTTTTCCATACATTGTGCAATTTTAAAAATTTAATAATATTTTTATTTTTTTATTGTACACAAAAATAAATAAATAAATAAAAACCAAATTTTCTTTCACTTTAGCAACCAATAACTAAATTATAATTTTATTACAACATTTTATGAACAATAATTGAAACTTAGATTAAATTAAATTTTAATTTTTAATAGTTCAACTATATATATATCAAATTAATATATATTGTGATATTCACAATAATAATAATAAAAACCGTGACCATTATATTTTAGACATTAAAATCTTCATTCTACAATTTGTTACAATTATTGCAACCAATACTTAATCTGTAGGAATGAAATTCAAATGATCGATGTTCGAGCAACAGTAGGTTTGTGCGGAAGCAATTGATCTACATCATGGGCCCTGATTCCACAGCGTAGCGATCTTCCCTGTCGGGGAACACACACTAAAAGAACAGAAGATGGTGGAGCAAAGCCTCTTCTTATTCGTCCATTTCAAGGATATATTTTACGGAGTGAACGAACTTGTCCTTTCCATAACGGTGGATTAAGACCACCTAAACCGAAGTGGGTGGGTAATTTCATTTTTAGATTCACCTCTTCTATTTACAGGTTTGATGCCCATTCGCATGCCCTGTTATTTTAACCAATACTGCATGGGCTGAAATACCGACGTTGCTATGATATAAAGTGAAAGATTGGCATTGCAGCATAGCTTCTCTATAAACCTGATGTGAGTGGAGGCTTGCGGGTAAATAAATCAAAAGATTGCATAAGCAATAAAACTCCTCCAACACCACAATCATTGACAAATGAAATTTTAACAAATGGTGACAAACAAATATGGGTCATCAAACCTTGAAAATATAAAGCTCAGAGCGACATCTGTTTGATTGATAAGAAGTCTTAAAGGACTTTATGCTACCATGACCTTCGATAAGTGTACGAGAACAAGTCCCCCAATAATCCCATGAATTCGTATAATTAGTTCTCTTAAGAAAGTTCACAAGAGGGCGTCTTTTCCTATCAAAATTTCTCCAGATTATAGCATACAACCCCATTATGAACTAACAAGTCACCAGACACACCACAAAAGCCCTTCATCAGAAAACGGGTTAATTACATATCATGCTGTCTGCAAGCTTTCTTTTTTCAACTCCATTGCTGTCCTAATGCAGAAAATTCGATGGAGAACTATTGCAAATCTTGGAGTTGAATGGTCACACCTTTTTTATGATTTGCACAACATCTTCATCCTCAAGTTCGTGTTCCTGAAATGCAAGAGGTCATACATGAATAATTGAATATCAACCAGCACATAAAAATTAATTGAAAAAATACTAACAAAATGGAGATAAATGGGGAAGGGGAACAAAACTAAAATATAATAAAACTGAGTAGGCTGAACCAGGTTTCAGAATAAACCTTGCCAACCCTTTGTGGTTTGTGTTTCGCACTAGACCCCCATACCAGAGCACTGTATCATTAACCAAAAGTAGATTGTCATGAATGCAGGGTTAATAGAAAAAAAAGAAGCTAAGATGGTACTTTCAGCTGATATGTAAACCAGTCCTTTTCTGTTATTTTTTAAACTGAAAAGGTATAAACTAATCAAACCCAATTAATAAACAGATTTTAACCAATAACATCAGCAGATGCAATCAAATGAGGAAAGGGCCACTTCTCACAAAGCGGTTCAGGAGGATATAAGCTCTCATGGGGCAAGCTAGGCCCGCAACTTAGCTTTTCTCCTCCATGAAACTCAATTGCTTCATCAATGTCAGACATGCCAGCAAGCATTTTATTTCATGCATGTCTCCAATAAGACTTGTGATTTGACACACTAATAAGCCCCAACCCTAACAAGACCATGTGAATTCAATTGCATGTAGTTTTAAGCCCCAACTCCAACTGCTTCTCAAATAACAAAAAGCTGATGCTCTGAATTTTTCACAAACTAGAACTTTTGAAATAACAGAAATTCAAGAGACACTCACTACTTAAATTGTTTCAACATGTCCTTGTGAATTCGTTCGCAGAAGTCCTCAACTGTCCGCTTCTTTGATGACAATATCACAGGATCTTCATAGTCTGGATTCATCCCTTTTGGCTTTGTATATATGCGAGTTAAATCTAGATACTCCCACACTTTCTCCAGCAAACCATCAAGGTTCCATTCCAGGTGAGCACTAGAGTACACCAAAAAGAAGATGAATCATACAAAATTACAAAAAACATAAATAACAAATCATATGGACATGAATTGTTTGACCTTTAAATTATGATAAGATACATAAATAAAAGAAGCCATAGATCACCTAATGTTACCAACATAAATAAGAGACAATGCACATGCAGGATATGTCAAAAGACAAGTGAGCGCAAGCTATTACATGCTAACTTTATGCCAATTGCTTTCAAGATAACAAGTCACAGAGAAGAAAAAAAAATCTGTATCTTCATGAATTTTAGAGCAGTCCAGTTATTAAAATTTTCATTCAAAGCTAACTTTAAAACGATCAGTTACAACTAAATAGATTGTTGTCAGATACCCAATAAATTATAAGCAAAAAAAAGACACCAGCAGTTTAAATCAGTCTCTACATACACAGAGAGAGAGGAAGGGGGATTGAGTGGCTCAATGAACACATGTAGATGAAGCTATGGCAACATAGATTCTACCAATCAACTAATTCAAGCAATTGGCTGGAGGAAGTTCTTTCTCAGATTACACTTACCAACACATCTATATTGGTGTGCTTGGGATCTCAATAGAAAAATTAAAAATGACCGATCATGTCAGGGTTGCAAAATCCAGATATTTGTAAACAGAATCATGAGACAGATTTTCTTTGCATGTTATTTTAACATAAATTAGTATAGTAAGACTTGGACAATATTTGTAACCATAATATAATAAGAAAAATTCAAGCCAGTAAAAAGTCACCTGACTGGGCAGTAGTGAGGAAGTTTGTCTAAAATCTCCAGCTCCTCAAGAGTAATCTGATCGATTTTGTTCACCACATAGATGCAGGGCATGTATATTCTACTGCCCTCGATGACATCTATGAGGTCATCAGCACTTGCATCATACCTCAGAGTAATATCAGCATTGTGAATTCTGTATTCACTGCATATTGCTTTCACAGTATCAAGATCAAGGTGAGTGTTGGCAACTGTTGATGTAAAATTAATTCCACCCTTATCTTTCTTTCTGAATGTCAGATTAGGTGGTTCCTTATTTAACCTGTTTCCAGAAACATAGTAAATTTAATATAGGATAATTAAACACTAAGAGAAGAATAAAAGGAGAATGTATAAGCCATGCCTATAAATATTGTATGTATGCATGTTGGGAGATTGGATTCTGAGAAGTAAATATGTAAAAAGACAAGTCAAGTCATGAGGCATAAACACCATAATATATATATGGAAACACCACATCGGAAGCTTCAAAATATTATATCAAGAAATGTGAGACCCTTCCTTAAAATATATACATATAATAAATTGAAGCTCAAAGGAAGTGTCTATCAAGGAGGTGCCACACATCTTGAAGTGCTTTTAGGCCAAACAAGCTAGGATATGGAAATATTGAACCATTAATTTATTTTATTTTTTCTGTAAAGCTGGAGTCATACTCCCTTTTTCATGTCATAATGAATAATTTGATTTTTCCTGAATCAGTTATAAATAAAAGTTAATCCAAAAACAATTGAGCAATTGTGTCCATGAGGCTCAAAACACAACTAAAGGCAAACAGAACAACTACAATTAGATGATAAGCTTAATCAATTTTTATGTGTTTCCAATCCAAAAGACTAAAGTATGTTTCTAATGGTTCGAACATTGTTAGCATTTAAAAAGAACCTTTGAAAAATTGGTGCTTGATCAATGGTTATGCCTAAAACTAAATTAGATCTCTTTATTCTCTCTTTCCAATACATAAATGATCTAAGAGGCATGCAGGAGCTCTCCAAATGATCTTAGGAGAAATATACAATTAAGGAAAATGATGAGATTCAAGTAACAATTCATACAGTGGCACCAGCAAAGCATTGGCAGACAAATTATCTAAGGACCATAAAATTTAAGCTACCTAGTCATTACCTTATGCCAAATCCTTCAAGCTCTTTCTCTATCAGACGCTTGTGAGTTATTGGCTTTATTGCATCAAGAACAATTAAGATACAGTTGCATGTCCTAGCAGTACTGATCACCTGAATCAAATTGACAGCACTATTGAATATACAGATATAAATGGCGAGAGTATGAATGATGCACAAGAACCAAAGAGTGCGACTATGAGCATTCATATCCGACTTCTATATCATCAGTATTTCAAAAGAAAAAGATGATACCAACATAATTTGCCATGGCATTTGGGGCAAAGGAAAGTGTTCTAGTACAAGATTCATGAAAGTGTAAAAAGATCCAAAGATATGTTCCCACCTAGGAAAACTTATTGAAACTTAAACTACTGCTTACTGAGACTGGCCTACCAAATGTGAACAGCCAAGCTGAAAGAACATCAACCACTTAAGACATCAGTGAGGATTTCAATGCCTGCAATGAATAAATTTGGCACCCAGGTCTCTAGATCTCACTTGCTGGGTTCAATTATGGTTGCCAGTGCTTCAACAAATATCCCAAAACCATACCTATTCTTCCAGCATTCAACACGCATACCACACACACTTCAAGTAAGAATTTGGGGTAACCTAAATCTTCTCAAATAGATTTAACATCATATCGCTAGCCTCCAGAATCAGGTTATGAAGCACATCCACGCCCATAATAAGCAGCATGAAAGAGGGTCTGGTTGCCTAATCCCTTCAAGGAATTTCTCTCTATTTTTTTCTTTTTTTTTTAAAAAAAAAAAAAAAAAAAAAAAAAAAAACACATCCTTTTAGATCCAAACATAATTCTCTCCATTCATGACAAAGAACTCTCTAAGGTAGAGGTTGTTCGCCCTTCTATGTCAAAGTAAACATAACCCAAAAAAAATCACTCTGGAATTCAAGCATTTACTGGCTACCAAATCCACATGAACAATTTGACAATGAACCAATAATGTACTCCAAGCAAGACATAACTTCACAGAAAACCAATTGAAACAACTAGGTACATGTGACCAGCAATCCACCAAACTAATTGGCTGATGATCTCTCAGTTCCCTCACAACCTCACAACATCACAGTTTGGGATCAAAGAACTAATGGATGCAATGAGCTTGTCACAATGATTCCGCCTAAACTAGGCAATTGGCCACAAGATGAATAGTAAAAGCAGAAAACACTTCAGTAACTTTGTATAAATAACAAATGTCATGTATTACATATATTTCTATCATAGACAAGGGATCATTACTCATTAATGAAGACCAAGACTTTGGACTACTATATCAATATTCAAGGCAAAAAATAAAAATAAAAATGCAAGGTATGCTAAACAACATGTCTTGATCTACCTGCCTTCCTCGACCTTTTCCATCCTTGGCACCCTCGATAATACCAGGGAGATCCAACAACTGCAGTCATCAGAGAAGAAGCATTAAGAACAAATATATTTAAATAAAAAATAAAAAAGAGTTAGTTCATCAAAAGGCAGTTTGAAATTATCAGTTCATGTACAAATTGGGGCATTGACATGGTACGTAAAGCTATCTTGAAAACTGATGACAAACATTCAAATCAAGATCATTTCAAGAAAAAGAAAAACCATCACTATTCCATAAAGGCAACGAAAACCTCAAGATTTTGCAGTTAACATTACCTGAATTTTAGCTCCTCTATAAACAATCACTCCAGGGATACAAGTCAAGGTGGTAAACTCATAGGAAGCAACCTGTAATCCATTAAGTTTGAAATAATCAGCATTCACAACATGTTGTACATGAACTTAAATTAAGTCAGCATTACCACAAAAGTAGACAGAGAACAAGAACATGCTAATGATTCACGTTAATCAGTCAATTAACCAGCTCCACAGACAGAGACAGAAATTTCACAATGTAGATCAGGCAATTAGCAGCTACAACTGCCTCTAACAAACCCAAACCCCACCTACACCGATTCTCTACAAGACCCTCTAATGCTCTCTTCCATGGCATGCAAAATTATAATGAGTACAACCCTATTTAATAGAGATCATAAGTAATATAAAGATTTAATATTCAACTGAAAAGGTAAGGAAACCAAATAATCCTAGTAAAGAATTTTAGAAATCCCAATCAGATAAGAACCCAATGGGAATTTAAATTCAAGACATATCTAAGCAAAACCAGAAGGTTTTACTCTAAATAAGCGGTTAATAGCATATCCTTCATCAAAGATGTATGAATAGCAGATCTCCTGCACTGCAGGTCCAATGAACATTTATTGGTGTCAGCATTTTAAGAAAGCAAACACACTGCTCCATCAGTGTTCTTAAAGGGTCAAGAACGTAAGGCAACAGGGCTTGATATTGACACTGACCAAGATGCTAAGCGCCACAAGAGGTGCTCACTCGAGTGAAGTGACATGTTGATTTAAATGACTAGTTACATATGCATATAAAAGTATATATACAAGTAAGCGTACTTATACATTACATAAAAGAAAAACTAATGGAAGCCCAACAAAAAAATCTTACCAATTCAAAAAGGATCCTATAGAAAATTCATGTTTCAGAAAATCATATATATATATATATATATATATATATATATATATATATATAATGTTAAGTAAGTCAAGCCTTTAGCATGCAAATCCCAAGGTATTATGATTAGTATAAAATATCTTCCTCTAACATTGATAAAAATTGCCTAGATGAGCACCTTAGGAAATCGTCTTTTCTGGAGGCATTTAAGGTAATGAGGTGGCACCATTGGTGCCTTGATGTAATAGTTAACACTAAACTTGACAACAGATAATATTCAAGCTCTAATAAGCTTATAGTAGCTATTATTTGCACACTTGTGTATTAAACATTATGCGAAAAAGAACCAAAAAAAAAAAAAAGGCCATACCTCTGAGAATGTCCCTGTTAATTTATTTAGAAGAGTGGATTTCCCAACAGAAGGAAAACCCACTAAACCAACTCTAGCATCTCCACTTTTAGTGACATCAAAACCTTGACCACCAGCACCACCACCTCCTTTCGTCGATGGCTCAAGAAGTTCCCTTCGTAGCTTTGCAAGTTTTGCCTAAAATCACCAAATAGCCAACGCCACAAAAATGCGTTAAATGGATTATTTCATGTACAATAATTAAATAACTAAAAACAATTTATTGCAGCAAAAATCATTTTTTGAAAAAACAAAAGCAGATACCTTAAGCAAGCCGAGATGATGTGCTGTGGCCTTGTTTTTTTGAGTCCTCGCCATCTGCAAAACACGAAAAAAGAAAATCCGCATAAAAAAAAAAAATGAAAAATGAAGGGGAGAAAGAAAAAAATGCTTTTCAAATTAAAAAATTACCTCATCTTCGATGTCTTTGATTTTCTGCATTACAGTCGCCATTTTTTTCGAAGCTTAGAGAGAAATGAAATGAAAAACGTTTGCGTTCTTTATAAATCAGTATGTACCGAAGATTGCAATTTTGGTTGGTGAGTAAGTGAGAGCAGTGGATCGGAGACAGTACAGCAGCTTATAAGAGCAAGTGTAGAGGAGGAGGAGGAAGAGGAGAAGGTACTCGAGAAAACGGAGGTGGAGTTTTGTGATTTTGCAACTGCTGGCTGCTGCAGCTGCGGCCCTTTTTCTTCGTTCGGGCTGGGCTGCTGAAGCTTTGTAGCCCGTTTCTTTAACTGACCCGTGATGCGATTCACCAAGTAGGATGGGTTTAGGCGTTTAGCGTTATTTAAAAAATGTTCTTTTAAAGCAATGTTTTTTTTTTTTTTTAAATTTAAATTTATAGGATATGTTTTCATATTTGTATGTGAAAACGATTATGTCATGTAATCAAAAAAAATATCATCATTTAACTAAAAATTTAATAGGTATATAAAATTTTATATTATTGCCAAAATTTTAACGTAAAACATCAAGAGAAAGGTTTTTTTATTATCGAACTGCCGATTTCTCATGATCTACTACTCAAGTTTTAATTTTTTTTGTTTGTTTTGATACCCAAGTTCACATGAGGCCCAATTTGTTGACGTGTCCAATAAGATTTATCATGTGGTAGTAAAAAAAAAGTCATGTGACAATCAACTTTGTCACACCAACACCTCACACTCTTAAGTAGTTATGAACATTCAAATAGAAAAAAAAATAAATAAATAAAGATTAGGTATTGAAATAGAAAAAAATATATATAATTAAAGATTTGGCAACTAAATAGGAAAAAAATCAATGGTTAGATACCAAAAAGATAGTTTTCTAAAGAAATTTATTTTAGTTTTCTCATACCAAATGTCTATCTCATTCTTATACTCGATTTTTTATTATTATTATGAATAAATTTCATGCATTTCTTATGCTTCCACACACACACACATATATATTCAAAACTTTCTTTTTGATATTGAAAGTCATATAATTTTAAATTTTAAAAATATCGGCAATTATACACATGCATATTTTCATGTTATTATGTTAATTGCTCATGTAATTTTAACAATGCATTTACTTTTTAGCATAATTCATAGTTTACTTATTACCTTTGTCATTATCGTCATCGCTATAAAAAATATTGCATTTTAAACGCTCAAATCAAAAAGCATGATCATTAAATTTATTTATGTAGATTCTATCTCATCCCAACTTACTATAAGACATTCAACAAATTATTGGCTACAGCAAGTTTATATCACCCATGATATTTTAGTTAATTTTCTCCTTAGACAATGAAAGTTATTTTTATTTTTTGTAACTTTCTCCATTGACCAACCATTGGTTCCACAAATGGCAATCATATGGATCTTATATATCTTTTATTTTTCTAAATTTAATCTTAATTAGACCTTATATATACTTGGATTAATTTTATTAGAAATTATAGGACTAATTTGCAATCTCAAAACAATAAATTTCTTTTAAAAATTGCATTTTGGTACCGAATCTTTAAATTTTTTTTCTATTTCAATGCATAGCCTTTGATTTTTTTCCCTATTTAAATAGGTATATGAAAGTATAAAGTGCTAACGTGACGGAGTTGACTACCATAAGGTAGGATTGAGTGGCACGTGGCATTTTTTACTATCACGTAACAAATCTCGTCGGATACGTCAACAAAATTGGATTTTAGGTGAATTCGAGCACCAAAATAAATAAAAAATTAAAACTTGGATAGCAAATCATGAGAAATCAATGGTTTGGCATAAAAAAAAAAAAAAATCAAAAGTTGGGCACAAAAAAGCCTCTTGATTTGAAATAGATCAAAAATCAAAATAATTGGTTGCAATAAAATTTAAATTTGAAATATTGATTATATATTAACTCTTGATTTTAACAATAATTATTTTTGAACATTTATTATGTAAGATATTCTACTAACTTTTCACATTATCCATGATAGAAATTAACTTTTATGATACCATTGTATCTAATGATAACCTTTAAAAGAAAAATAGATGTAAATTCACTTTTAAGAAATAGATTATGGATAAGTTATATATTAATCTTTTAAAACAATAAGTTCAATTTTGTAGTTTATATTTCAAAAAATATATATATATATTTAATTGTACTATTTATACAACCCTCCTTGTATACTTAAAATTACAATAAATTGATTTCTTTTTTTTCTTTTTTTTAAAAAAAAAGACTTTCATTTTTTGAATGTCCATTTTTTCTCAATTGTAAAATAATTTGTAATTTTTTTATACTATTATATTTAAAATATTTAATGAGTCTTTCAAACTTTAGCATAGCTCATATCAAATAAGATTTAGAGTTAAGAAAACAAATTATAAGTTGTGGCACGGATGATTAAAGTAGAATTCGAATTTTTTTTTTTTTGTCATATTGAAGTCAAAGGAATTTTGAGTAAATTATAAATTAGTCCCTACCACTTCCGAAACAAATTAATTAATCATTTTTCCTTTTTTCAATTTATTTTTATTTATGTTTTAAGAAATAAAAAAGGAATAAAAAATAAGTAAACATATGAAAAGATTGATAAGAAAAGAAGACATTTTATAAAATATAAAAATATTATATTAGTCACGGCTAATTTAAATAATTAATTTTTAAAACCGGAAAAACTAACGAATTCATTTCTCAAAACAAGAGGGACTAATTTATAATTTACTCAATGATTTTTCAAACTATTTTTTTTATTATAGATATGGTGCACTAGAGTTTATGATTGCGCAAAAGTGGTTTGATCGATGAATCGGTTGACATACGGATGGATGGTGCAATCATGTAGAGACTACACTAATAATCTCCACAGACTTATTGAACTACCCTAATGTGCTCCATAAGTTTTTGAGAGAGGAGAGGTGATAAGCACCATATTTATATATTTAATTCACCATATATTTAATCTTTTATGAGGTTTAAATGCCTAATAGAGTTGCTTATGTATTCTTCCGTGATTTGGATAGGTTTTGGAAGATGAAAGGTAAATAAAGATAGTTGGACATAATTTTAGACATTCTAACATAGCTAAAGTTCTAGACCTCTATTTTGTGAGTCTTAGCTCATTAGAAAGCTAAGACATATACCTATAATTATCGGGGGGTCCAAACCCAGTTTGAATATTTGATGGTCGGGAAATGGTCGAGAAGATAGAACAAGATTTGACTCGATGATTCCTAAACCAGACTCCAGTATTAAATTCATATATGAAGTTATAGACATCTAATTAATGTAAGGCCAAGTCCATTAAAAATTTAAGATCCATATCTACAACTTTATGCGAGTCCCAAAAGTGAAAAGATGTTGTTATCAATAAGGAAAGTCGTAGATAAATCTATTTTCTAATCTAATGCGGATTAGAAACGAGGATCCTAATAGAATAGGAAAGTGTAGCCGAATTTATGGACTTATTTGTAGGGATTCTTATATATAAATAGGTAGTCTTTAAGGCGAGAAAAAGGTGAGACAAGATTAGGGTTTTATTATACACTTAATTTTTATTGCAATTTGTTCTTGAAAATGCAAGGCTAATTTTCCTTTTGAATCAAGAGTGACGTGAACTTCAAAAAACAAGCTATGAGACCTTTGTTTTAATTTTATAAATTCAGATTTGTTATCTTCTCTTATTCTATGTCAACTTCATAATATTGATGTTCTTAATTGCTTAGGATGCATACTAGGTGATTATGATCACTTGATAATTGCTATATTATGGTTTATATTATGTAATCGTTATAAAACCTATCACAAGAAGCAATTAGATTTAGTGATTTCTAAAATTGATTTCATTATAATCTAAGAAGAATAGAAGTATAGGTTAAATCAACCTAGTTTAGTCCCGATTATCTATTTCGATTATTCTTTAATTCGTTAATGCTATTATTAGATTACACGTAGAGAGCTTATCCTATATGTTTCAATAATTAGAATTCAAATAGCATGCTTTTTGTGTTTGATGATTAAGTAAGGAGAACGAGTTAATTTATGCTTTTTAGATTAATATAAATCGAATAATAAAACATAAATAAGGTTCTTAAGTGTCATTTATGATCATCTTGCAATTCGAAGGCAAACGTTTACTCTTGATCAATTTTGCTTCTCTTGAGTAATTTCTTTATTTCAATTCTATATATTCTTTTTTCTAATATTTGGTACAATCCTTTTTCATTTCAAGTAGTTTACGTACGAGTAAACATAAGAAGAGCAATTTAATTTAGTCTATATGGGATTGACCTAGACTTGCCACTAGATCTAGTTTTTAAGTTTAAATAATTATTTAGTGGCGTTACAACTCACTACTAAAAGGGAAGAAACTCAACAAATGAGCAAGAAGTTTATGTTTTGTATCGTAGATTATATGTACAAAAGATATATTTAGCAAAGATATCTCCTTATCTAATAAAGAGTTTTGAACACTCGTATAGATAAATAAAATATAATTTAAATATTAAATTTGAGTTTATGAATAGATAACCGATATTTGTTTCTAGAAACATATACCAAGTCATGTTAATGGACTCGGTTAAGAATGGTCCATCATGGGCGGACCAAATTGGGCCAACTAAGGTCTAAATGCTAACATCTCTCACTTGCACATGATTGTTACACACACACACCATCACTTTGAGACTCTTAAAAGATAATGTCACTAAGACACCTCATATTTGGTTCATACTAGTCCATAATCTGTGCGATTAGCATACTAACAAACCTCAAGACCCTTATGCCACACATCCGTTAGGAATATGTGATAGCTATTTTCATATAAAATGATATTTATAGTATGCAATACCTCAAACTCACATGTTACATTAAGTACCTTATGATCTCTTGATCTCTATGGATCATACTATGTACTCATAGTTATGTTTCACTAACATAAGCTGGTCTACTAATGGATACATGTAAATGCAACTTCAAGGTGGTCTTATACTTCTTATAAGAACTCTAATTTCTAACTTATTTGCTTTTCTAGATATGCTTCGCTAGGTCGAATCAATCGTGACTTGTTGGTGACACATTAAGCTAACTAGCACAAAGCTAAAAGTTTGAGAACCATTCAAAAATTAAAGGGTATTATTGATATTTATTAATCTCGGGGCCCACACTTGAAAAGTATAGATCAAACTTTTCCTAACTCTATTCAATTGATTATTAGCACAAGCAGTATGAACACTTGCTATTGTATTAACTCCTTTTCCCTAAAGAGCATATGTATTTCTTGCAATACCGTATAGATAATGGTTCGGACGTACTCAATTTCTAAATTGGATCCAATACTTATTTTTCTCAACATAATCCTACCTGTTTTTAAAACGAGACAATATAGACATTCGGATATATATCTCTAAGGTCACTTATGATGTAATATCCCGAATCTAAGAATAAATAAATTAATATATTTTAAATATATGTGAAAATTATTTTGTGTGCATAGAATTTTTGTTAGAGGGGTGCTAGAATATTCTATGCATTTGAATGAATTTTCTTGTGTTCAATGAATATTTTATTTGGCTTTTTGATGCTTGAATAGAACTTTTGATGTAAATTAATTATTTTAATTATTGTAAATGTGCATGGAAATTATCCAATGGGTATAGAAAATTGCTAGAGAGATGTAGGAATATTTCATACACTTAAGTAAATTTTTTTATGCTTAGGGAATATTTTCTATAGGAATAAGTGCATTTTTATGCAAAATAATTATGTGAGAAATGAATAAATTACTATAAGAAGTGTTTGAATTGATTATGGAAAGAAATTATTTTTTAGAAAGATGTGGAATAAATTATGCATATATAGGGACCTAATTATAAAAAATTAAAAGTTTAAATTTTCAAATAAAATTATAAATGAATTTAAAGAAGTAAAAATTTCTTAGAATAGACCTTAAGGAAGGACCTAAAGTGGTCAATTAAATATTTGAAAGGCTTACGAGAGGAGTAAAAAGTGGAAATTTTCATAAATTGAGGGACTAAAATAAAATAATTTTGGGAGAGATTTTTCTCTCTTTTGCCACCTCTCACCCTCCATGATTAGGGTTCATTAATTAGCTTTGACTTATAAGCTTAATGAAAGATTAAGATGAAGTAAAATGTAGGGATGAAAATTAAGGAAAGATGGAAGGTAGGATTAAAACAAATGAAGGGCAAGGATTAAAGCAAAATCAAGGGTAGAGATTAAACCAAAAATAACAAGCCATGATCAATGAAACAAGAAAAAGTCTACTTAAGCTCACCTATAAATATGGGAAGAAAATATGGAGAAAAATGTTGAAAAATTGAAAAATCCAAGGGAAACTCAAGCAAAATTTCCATTGAAAATCACCAAAAATTTCACCTAAACACGTAAACTTATCCTAAAACACCTAATTCAGCCTAAAATTTAAGTTGGAACATCAAAATTTCCCAGCAGGAAAAAGGACTCTTGGTTGAAAGTTAGAAGGAAAAGAGGGAAGGAAAATTTTCAAAGCAATCTAATCTTTCAAGGGTTAATTTGGAGCTTTAGAGGTAAGTTAATCTCACTTACATCACAAGGACAGAGCTAATTGATGTTAATTGTTGATTTTGTGTTCTTAATTTATGTTTAATTGAATTAATTTTGCAAAATAGGGTTAGAGTTCTTATTTAGAAAAAATTAGAGAAAGTGATTTTGACATGGAAATGCATGTAATTGATGTTAGAATATGTTAATCGGGCATGAAATTACGCAAGAAAAATGAAAAATTCCTTGGCCTCTTCTTGTTGAAAGTTTCGGCCATAATAGTGAATTTAGAGATCTTTGATGCTTTTGTTTGTTTGATGTTTAATTGATTAATTATGTACTAGTGAAGTATAAAAAGATGTTCTAGCATAAAAAATTACATTAAAATTGAAAATTTCATCTTCTTTAGCTTAAGTGAGATTTTGGCCTAAATGAGAAAAATTAGTGTTTTTAGACACTTTTTAGTGTTTGAATGTTTAATTGATAAATTTATGATAAGTTAATTGCAATGTTTTTGTTCAAGGTGTGAAATGTGATGTTTATGACCTAATTGTGTTTGTTTTTGAAAGTTGGGAAATGTTTGAATGGTTGGTGTAATATATCGTTATTTGATTGTTGATGTGAAATGTGACATTTGTGATGCTCCATGTTGATGGTTTGTAATTGAATTATGCACTTGTGAATGAGTTGATATAAATTATGAGGTAATGCATTTTATGTTGAATTTTATATTATTACGACATGTTATGTTATGGTACAAATAGGCATCACGTATGATGTGTATTACATGGTCCATGAGTATTATGCATTTTCATTAAATGCATGTGCATGCCAAGTCATGGAAAGAATATTCTTCATGGTTTCCAAAGAAAAATGAGAAAGTGTTTCATGGTTTCCATTGTCCTTGACATTTCCTTCGTCGGTAAACTAGCAACGACCAAGGCCAAAGAAATTCTTCATATGAGGTAAGCCCTAATATAAGGAAATGGCATTTCTTACCGAGGGAATTGATATTAACCTACGGGAGAATTACGCAATGAAGATGTGAAGATGGGTAGGTGGGTATCGATGTGTACCTTCCGATACTCGACGGGACGTGTCCAAGCATGAAAAAGATTTTTCAAAATCATAATGGAAAAGATTTCATGGCATGGGAACGATTTTAGAAAATGTATGAAAATGATTTTTCATGTGTATTTCACATGCATACATACACATCATAGATGATTAACTTACCGGGTAATTGCTCATTGAGTTCTTATGATGTAGGGATAAAAGGTAAAGAATAATGGTGATATTCACTTACCAAAAAAAGTATCGAAGTATCTCTCTACCGAGTGTATCTTGCATGCGGATGTAAGCTGAACCTCCCGCACATTATTGTTTTATTAGTGCTCGGTATTTTAGTTTATGTACCGGGTATGACATCTATGTTTTATATGATAGTAAAATCCATGAGTAAGTAGATGGTTAATTAGAAATGAGAAAATGGACGTAAATAAATAAGCCACTTTTGTAGTAGTGTGGCATAAAATTGGCTAATATGTAAAATATGGATATGTATTACTATAACGAGCATGTAATGGTAGTTTTCTTTTAATTAATTACATGCATGTTATCATCAATAATAAAAAGTGGCCACAAAAATGATAAGGAATTAACCATAATAAATGATAAGTAATGAAGGAAAAAGAGATTAATTATGAAACAACAAGTAATAATTAAATAAATTACTATAGGATTGTAGAAAAGGAATTTGACGGAACCAAACACCACAAATCCAAGCGAGTTCAGTCCACACTATTAAAATAAAATGTTAAAAAGGAAAAATTTAATAGTGTATTTTGGGCTAAAATTAGGACCTACGAATCATTTTTTTTCGAGAACGAGGGCGGTACTACGGAATATCATAAATGAAACATAGGAACAAGACCTACCCATCATTGAATAGGTTTTCACATCATAACTCATACGTGGTAATGTCATAGGAAAGACATCGTACCTTGTTGGCTTTCATTCATTGTACTCTAAATGTAGGCTAACGATTTGAACGTAGGTTAACGATGATAATATTCTTAACCTAATAGGTCCTATGTTGGGGGTGTTACGGACGTGGTATCGAGAGAATAGTTTATCGATAAATTAATGAAAGGCACAAGTAAGATACACAAGAGGTGACCTTCGGTTATCGGTAAGTATGGTTGATGATTTATTGTTATGATTACTCGGTGTATGTGCATGATGAATGTGGATGGCATACTAATTTTTTTGTGAGAAATTATTTTGCTTGAATATTAAGTGCATGGAATGTAATAAGTGAGTGTACTATGAATGATGATTTATGAATGGTAAGATTGAATAAAATGACATAATTTTGCATTGTTTATGCATGTAAATTAGAGAGGGAAAAGATGCCATCGAAGAGGGTTAGTAATAATAATGTTAGTGATGGCTCGGGTCCAAGTCGATCAACATCGAACCAAGAAAGAGAGTTAATAGAGCTGCTTTAGAAGTAGCCGAATTGATGGAACAACAACAAGTGAGGCATGAGGAACATATGTAAAGGATGATGGAAATGTGATAGCCCATGCCAATTGATGCATGTCGTATCGCAACTAAAAATAAATTACCTTACTTAAACTTTCTAAATGTAGATAGGATGAGCAAGGATCGATCCACAAGGAACTACTTAATCAAATCTCAACCAAAGAGGGGCTGGTTTTATTTTACTAAATAAATTATCTAAATCAATAAAGAAAATTCAAATAAGAAAATATCGATTCAAGGGAATGACTCATCGTTGTAAAGTAATCACCGACCTTATATATTTATAGACATGTATTTTTCATTCAAATATTTAACAAAAGATTATCAAGAAGCCTAACAATCTTTACCTTCCCTAATATCATTAATCTAAGCCAAACTCCCAAACTAAATCTTATCAAACTAACAATTGGTATTAAGCAATCCTTATGAATAGATTGATAGTATGATTCGAATTCGAAGGAGTTAAAGGTGGACAACAATTTAACAAGCATAATATTGTTTAATCCATTCTATATCTCTTTGTAAGCAAGTAACAAAAGCTGGGATCATAATTATTCTACTTAATTGCTACTTTGATTGAACTTTATAAAAATTACGGATTATAATTTCAATCTAGGTTTAGGTCATATAACCGAATCAATTAATATACATCTCAATCAATTCAATTATACAATCATACAATCAATTAGAAGAAAGAGACATAGATGCTTAGATAAAAAAAATACTTGACTAATATTAAGAACAAGGTCTCATAATTTACTAATCGGATTGAAGTTCCTTGAAACGATTAATGAAATTTAGCCAAACATGAATGAATAAAAATATGTTTTCTTCAATACATCTTCAAAAAAATTAATTTATGAGAGAGAGCGAGAGAGATGTAGAGAACGTGTTCTCTACCTTTTGATCTAAGATATCCTTTGAAAAATTGGATGAAGATAAAGTTTCAATGTAATCATGACTTTTCCTAAGCTATCTTCTAGAAATTAGAATCCTAATTTCCTATTCTATCTTCACTACCAATTTTGGACTAGGTACATTTCGAATTTGAGATTTCTTTCTTCGGAAGAGTTGTATTCCTATATGTTATCTTTCCAATTCACTTGGTCTTATGTCAATTGAAGGTTTAAAACTAAGTTGTGGGCCAAACACTAAAACTATGCAAATTAGTTCGACCGGAATTAGGAATCGACTTGCCGACTAATTTGTACTTAGCCCCTTCATCAAAGTTGTAAATATGGGTCTTAAATCTTTACTAAGCTTGGATTTTCATTAATTTTCCATCTAAAACTCTAATTATGAATTAATTATCGAAACTGGTTCTAGGGCCAACAAGATTTCGAATCGACTTCTCATACCAAAATTTGAGATATTGTTTAGAGATCTAAACAAACTTGGATTTTGACCCGACACATCATTCCGGAAAGCTTGAGATTTTCTTTAAAAAAGTTATGAAGGTCACTTCTTCCAATTCAAACTCAATCTACTAAAAACCTATAAGAAAGGTAGATGGTATAAGTAAAAACATGCTTGGAATTCTTCACTTTTAAGCACAATTACTCCTAATCTCAAATTTATGTCTTATCAATAAATATGAACATTAATTAACCTATTAAGACATAAAACTTAACAAATAAACTAAATTTAAGGAGAATAGAAATATAATATAATGTGTTTATCACCAACCGAAGCATGACCATCATAACGAGCTAAAATGGTGGAGCGTTTCTAGCAGTTTAATCCAAAGGAATTTAAAGGTAGCCTAAACCCCACCATTGAAGAGGAATGGATGGAAACCATGGAGATTATTTTTGAGCATTTAGTTATGAGTGATGTAGATCGAATAACATGTATGACCTTTATCGCTGGTCGAAAATGCTCGAAATTGGTGGAATGAAAGCCTCCTCGATGTGGCATAACTTATATGAGACGAATTTAAGGAAATATCTAACGAGAAGTGTTTTTCGAATGTATTGAGGTCTTGAAACATCTAAGAGTTTCTACAATTAGTCCAAGAAGATATGTCGGTGACATACTATGTTTATAAGTTCGAACATAGGTGCCATTACACTACTTTTATTGCGAGGATGAGTTATGAAAGAAGGAACATTTTTTTCATGGGCTACGAGTGGAGATTAGGAGTTTTGGTCAAACATGTGCGGACATTTATAAGGAAATGGTCAAAAAGACACTAGGAATTGAAATAGATAAAAAAAAATGGACACGAATACCTCTTGATACATGTAAAGGAAGAAGCATGCCAAATAAGTTTCAAGACCAATTTGGTAGAAAGAGGCCTTTTAATCAAAATTGGTATACAAATAGCAAAGAAGGAAAGGAGTAAGTAAGGCCATAGAGGATAAGAGAATGAGGCATACCAATTTGCACTAAATATGGCCATCCGCATCTAAGAGAGTGCTTGATTGATATGAACGTGTGCTACTTTTGCTAGGAAGTAGGGCATGTGGCTAACAACTACCCAAAAAGGAATGTGAGTCGAAGGATGGTGAGTTCCTAGTAGGGTGTACACGATGACATAGGAGGAGGTAGATAAGGAGCATGCCAACGTCATATGTGGTAATGTCTTAGTCTCCAATCTTATTGAATAGACATTGATAGATTTAAGAGCCACGTATTCATTACATGATCATTGTTAAGATGATTATGTTTGACACTCGAAGTGTTGAATATTGTTTATCAAATGGCACTCCCATTTGAAGAGTAATTAGAATCTAATGTTATAGGTAAGAAATGTAAAGTATGAATTGGAGATCACATTTTATATTTTGATCTTTATAGTCCCGAGTATTCAAGACTTTGACGTTATCCCGAGCATGAATTACTTATTTGAAAATGAAGTGTCAATTAATTATTTAGTTAAGAGAGTGACGTTCCACCCGATGAATGAGCAACCCTTTGAGTTATAAGCTCGAACTAGGATAAACCCGTAACCATAGTTTTAGTAATGATGGCTTGGAAAATGATGAAAAGTGAATTTATAAGCTCTCTAGTGAACATGGTTGTTACTAAAAAGGAGAAAAGCCCAAAGTTAGAAGAAATTATAGTTAAGGAGTTTCTAAATGTCTTTCCTCAAAGGTTTTAAGGATTACCTCTAAGGAGAGAGATCGACTTTGAAATGGAGATAGAACTAGGAACAATGCTTATATCCATGACACTATATCAAATGGCCTTAATAGAATTAATGGAGCTTAAAACTTAAATACAAGAACTACTTGGATAAGGGCTTCATTCGACCTAGGACTTCATCATGGGTAGCATTGGTATTATTGGTAGAGAAAAAGGATAGGTCACTATGATTAAGTATGGATTATCGACGGTTAAATCGAGTGGCCACTAAGAACAAGTATTTTCTCCTATGGATTGAGAATTTATTTAATCAATTACAAGGGAGTTCAATGTTCTTTAAGATTGATCTCCAATTAGAATATCATCGATCAAGAATTAAAGAGGATGATATGAAGAAAATGACCTTTAGGAATCGACACGGGCATTATGAATTCTTAGTAATGCTATTGAATTAACTAATATATCGGTAGTGTTCATGGATTTGATGAATGGGTTATTCCATGAATACTTGGATGAGTTCATAATTATGTTCATTGATGATATTCTAATATATATAAGAAATTATAAGGAGCATGCGGAACATTTATGGAAAGCATTGCAAACCTTACAAGAGTAGAAACTCGTAAAACTCAAAATGTGTGCATTTTGGCTCATGAAAGTAGCATTCCTTGGATATGTTATATCCAAAAATGGGATTACGATAGATCTTGGTAAAGCATAAGTAGTGCATGAGTAGAGATAGCTAAGGAATATATTAGAAGTAAGAAGTTTTCTAGGAATGGTAGGCTATTATCGAAAAATTTATGGAAGGATTTTTTAGAATATCCGTACCTCTAACTCGACCGATAACAAAAAATGTTAGGTCCGAATGGGATGGTGAATGTGGAAGAAGTGTAATACTCTATACCTGTTAAAATCATTATTAAATCGGTTTAAGGATGTTAAAGGTATATGAAACATATTTCTCGGGCTTGGAATAATCACTAAAGGATTGTTAGAATATTTAGAGTAGCTAAGATAGTTTTTTTCATGCTCAATGAATATTTTATCGATTTTTTACTATGTGAATAGTACTTATTATGTGAAATAATTATTTCAAGTATGTTAAACGTGCATAAATTTTTTTTTATTTGCATAGAATATTTGTTAGTGGGGTGCAATTAATGCATGCACAAATGGAGGGTTTAGGATTAAAGAGAATGATTGGATGGAAGTTTGAAAATTAAAGAAAGGTTGGAT